TCAGTACTTTGCACAAATCATTTTGACATAGCTCATTTACTCTATTTTGATGATTGTGGAAAATTCAAGGCCTTAATTATTTTGTTTACACAATAATATGACTTGTTTAATTAGTTTAAGCTGCGATGTGCGCTACTTATATTGATATAAGTAGTAAATGATGCAAGTTAGAAACGTAATATCTGTCAGCAGAAGATGGAGGAAGATCAAGAAAAGAAGAGTGGGAACACAATGTAATTTGTATGAAAACGCATGGACAATGAAATATAAGACAATGAATTGATGTTTGTAACAGGAACAGTCAAGTTGGATATGATGAATTGATATTTTTGCAAATTAACGATTTACTATATATGGTTATCAGATTTCATTGAGATGCTCTGTGATTATGTGCCTAACTGCATTCGATTGTACCGACTGCTGCTCCTGTTCACTACAGTAGTCCTAAATAATAATAGATAGATACAAGTAAAACAAAATTGACAATATCACTTGTGTGTATGATTTGGGAGGTTTAATCATTTAATATAAAAGTTGAACATCTAGTTTAACAATAGATTCATTTAATGAATAGATTAGGGTGAATTATGTATTCAAATCATCCTTTATATACTTCTACTTGGATAATTGACTTTTATCACTAACCCTTACACACACACACACACACACAAAACATGTACTAGTTGTCGAATAGAAATATTGAGATATAGAAGAATAAGTGAAAATGTATAATCTTAAGAATCATTCATCTGAAATTCAGTCAACATATTATTAATATGTATGTATTAAACATTTATCTTCGAAATTCTCTAAACTTTTCGTACCTTTCATAAATTACAGTGAATCAATTATAAACCCGTAATCCAGTCTTGTATATATTGAGATGTATTATTTATTCTAGGTCATGGTCTTATATTGTTTGGGTTACAATCACATAAGTTTTAAAGTCTAAATGATACAATATAGTGTGATACACCTGTTTGATCATTCAAACATTCTGATGGATAATTTGAGTTAATTGGTTAGAATACCACACAGACTATTGATCGTTTTAGTAATATACAATAAACAGAATTAACAAACTCAAAGAAGAGAAGTTAAAATAAATCTAGATTCGAATCTCGCAGGAGGTATGGTCATGGATACGCACTGTTGAGGAGTCCCATGGCCGTCTAGTGCTTCCAGATTTTTCATGGTGATCGTCTAGCTTCAACTGACTCATGATCTTAATTATTCAAAATTACTACAATCTCCACAAAACCCCTTCTGATATTATCCTTCTATTTATATGTTTCATTATAAATAATAAGACAGTCAGTCTCTACTCAGATTATTGATATTTTAAGGTAAACAAGGCAGTATAAAATAAGAATAAAAAAAAAAAACTTATTCACGTAGGTGGGGAAAAGGAACAGAGTTTCTATTCAAATAAAAAAAAACAAACAAACATTTTTTGTTTAACTCAAGAGTACTTACTATTCATTGATAAAGAGGGAAGTCTATTTGACCTTGAAGATTGAACAAACAAATGAGGTTCTACTCATATATATGTATGTTATTTAATAAGAGATAGATAGATACATAGGATGAAATCAACCAATCAGAATAAACGCTCTCTTTCCATTCGCCCACGCATAGTTGCTAAGATATATATATATATGTATATGTGTGTTTATTATTCTAGTTACTACCTAGTATCCTAATATGCTCATTATTTATAATGTACTGAATTAAACGAAGTTGTTATATAAATAGTATATATTCCTATAATATACAATAAGTAGTATGGTTATATTAATCTTTGGAATTATTTCTCATATTATAATACAAATATCCTATGGAAAAATACATACAAATCAATGGTTAGTTAAATTAAAACATAATAATAATAATAATAATAGAAATGAATTAAAAAGATCAGCTAATGAAATAGCTAAAGAACTTGGTTTTATCACATTAAATGAACATAATTATGGTGAACCAAATGAATTTGTATTTACCCATATAGGTATACCATATGCTCGTGGTACACCAAATTATATACATAATTATCGTTTAAATCAACATCCATTTATTGATCATGCTATACAAATTGAAGGATTTATACGTAAAAAACGTGGTTACCGATCATTAACTGATAATAATTTAAATCGAATTAATATTCCAAAAGTAAGAATATTAACAAATCAAGAAAAAGTAATCAGTGAATTACGTAATAAAACAGATCCATTATTTAAAAATGAATGGTATTTATATAATATTGGACAAGCGGATGGTGTACCAGGATTAGATTTAAATGTATTAGCTGCATGGTCACAAAATATTACTGGTCGTGGAGTGATTACAGCAATTATGGATGATGGTATAGATTATTTACATCCAGATATAGCTGATAATTATGCTGCAGAAGCAAGTTATGATTTTTCTAGTAATGATGCATTCCCATATCCACGTTATACAGATGATTGGTTTAATAGTCATGGAACACGTTGTGCTGGAGAAGTTGCTGCAATTGCTGGTAATGGAGTTTGTGGAGTTGGTGTTGCACCAGGTTCTAAAGTAGCTGGATTACGTATGTTAGATCAACCTTATATGACAGATTTAATTGAAGCAGCTGCAATGGCTTATGCCCGTGATCTTATTGATATATATTCAGCTAGTTGGGGACCTACAGACGATGGGACAACTGTTGATGGTCCAAGAAATCAAACTATGCGAGCTCTAGTAGATGGTGTAAACAATGGTCGAAAAGGTAAAGGTAGTTTATATGTTTGGGCATCAGGTGACGGTGGAGAGAATGATGATTGTAATTGTGATGGTTATGCAGCTAGTATGTGGACAATAAGTATTAATTCAGTTACAAATGATGGTCATACAGCTGTTTATGATGAATCATGTGCTTCAACATTAGCTTCAACATTTTCTAATGGTAAAAGCCCATTTCTTCGTGATGCTGGAGTTGGAACTATTGATTTATATGGAAATTGTACATTACATCATTCAGGTACATCAGCTGCAGCACCAGAAGCAGCTGGTGTATTTGCTTTAGCATTAGAAGCTCAAAATGAACTTACTTGGAGAGATATACAACATCTTACTGTACTTACTTCAAAACGTAATCATTTATATGATAGACAACATAATCATAATTGGACAATTAATGGTGCTGGTTTAGAATTTAATCATTTATTTGGTTTTGGTGTATTAGATGCTGGTGATATGGTACATTTAGCAAAAAACTGGAAAACTGTACCAGAACGTTTTCATTGTATTGCTGGAACATTTAATGGTCGTAAAATTGCACGTCTTGGTCAACCTATATTTTTAGAATTAAATACTGATGCATGTATGAATAATCCCATAAATCAAGTAAGTTTTAATCATATTCTTGAAAGAAATATTACAATAATTATCTTTCTTATTAGAAAGGGTTTTTTTTAATAGTTTTATAGTTGAATTCATGAGTCAATTGAAGCTGCCCCCAAATGCCCTGGTACCGCCGAGAGTGGGGAGAGTCCGCTCTCCCTCTCCAAATGCTCTCACATGGTCATGCGTATATAGCCTCTGCCAGGGAAGTCCTACTCACTGCCTTCTCGCACCACGGCTGTTGTTTACGAAAATGAGAGGACGAAAAGCGAATGTCCGGCGCTTTAACCGGACTCCAAACCAATGGTGCACATGGGCTGGCTCCAGTATCCTGAAGGAACAAATGGCGTATGAACCAATCGTTGGTCACCGGCTGGCTACCATTGGACTGCATCTCCTCACGATGCTCCACTGCCTTGTGGACCAGACGTTCAAATTAAAGGCTCAGGGTGTGGCCCCCTAATTAAACCACCTGCTTCGGTTTGGGCACCTGGGCAGTATCACAGCCCTCACACATATCAAATGAGATTTGTGTGGCGCATATGTATTTGGTGCCTCCTTGTACCAATACCTATGTGTTAAAATAAATAAATAAATAAAATCAATTGAAGCTAGATTACCATGAAAAACCTAAAAGCACTTGACAACCGTTTCATTCTAGTATAGGATTCCTTAATAGAGAAGGGTAATATTCAGTTAGGCTTAATATTACATCTTTTAATTCCATACTATTCTCGAATTACTTTAGAAAAGTTAAAACGTAATCTATATTTATAAGTTTATTGATAAAATTCTTTTCTTACTTCGTTAAGTCGAATTAATCTATTTACAGTTTTAATTGGTTGAAGGGTATCGACAGCGATCCGTGAACCCAGTCAGTCAGTCAGTAACAACGTGGAACTTCGTACGTACGTACATCAGTTCGAGTTGCCATATCACATTAGCACAGAGATTCAGTTATCGATTCAAATCCCATAGTGGTAGAGGTACTGAAAGTATAAGTAGAGATAGGGGACATTAAGGTTTGATGATGTTATTAAAGGAGTATAGTCCAGTGGAATAAATTGGGAAAGAAAATAAAGGACATGAAGAATTTAGAAGATTAGAGTTTGAGAGAACACAAAGAGTGGATGTACCTGCGCCATTGCAAACGATTTTGAGCCATGTCATTAAAGGTCTCTAACCATCGGTTGCTATCATCTCGCGGTCCCTAACCAGGTAGTCTACACCTACTAACATGACTCAGTCCACTTGTCAGTGACTTCATGGATTTGTGCCATGTTCTGGTCTGGCCGCCCCTAGCTTTCTTCCAACCCACTCCTACACCATAAATCATAGCACGTCGTGGCAGTCGGTGGTCGGGCATGCGTAACACGTCCCAGCCATCTCAACCCATGTTTCATGCTAGTCGGTATTCATCAGAGATACATATCTGGCAACTTTAGTAACATTCTCCATGGGATTCAGACTCACGTTAATCAATGTCACGAATTTTTTATTTACCAGTAAGCTATTTTAGTAAAAGCAGATTTTCTATATGACTGAGCTATTTACACTGACTCATTAAGGAGTAATTTTCACAGTTGAATTCATAAGTCAATTTAAGATAGACCACCATTCAAAACTTGAAAGCAGTGAACGGCCATTTCATCCTAATATGGGACTCTTCAGTGGTGCGCGTGCACAATTCCGCACATGGGACTCGAATTCAAGACCTTTGGTCTCGCGCGCGCGTACGCTTAGCCTCTAGAGTAGTGATCACTGTCATAAAATTTCTAATTATTAAGACTATGTATATTGTCAGTAAGAATCTGTTGACATTGTATAACAGAAACTATGAAGACCTATTTAATTACTGTTTACATGAACTTAACAACACTAAAACCCTCTCAATCAGATCATCCAGCTTCGAAAATTCAATACTAAAAGCATGTATCTTAGAATAAACGTTTCCCAAACTATTCACATTCAAACCGTACCATACAAAATAAGGATATATTACTAATAGGGGAATTATAATGAAATACAAATTGAATATGTATAATTAAGATAAATTTTAGGGTAAAATTATGTGACTCAATATATAAGATTGTTTCTATTCGAAAAGATTATTCCGCACTTTATCGATTTCTGATTTTACGAATGAGCTATAACATTTTTAAATTTTTATTTTATTTATTTGTTTATTTTAACACATAAGTATGGGTACAAGGAGGCACCGAATACATATGCGCCAACCAAATCTCAATTGATTTGTGTGACGGCTGTGATACTGCTCGGGTGCCCAAACCGAAACAGGTGGTTTTCTTAGGGGGCCACACCCCGAGCCTTTGACCTGAACGTCTGATCCACAAGGCAGTGGAGCATCGTGAGGAGATGCAGTTCCATGATAGCCAGCCGGTGACCAACGATTGGTTCATACGCCATTTGTTCCCGCAGGATACTGGAGCTAGCCCATGTGCACCATTGGTTTGGGATCCTGTTAAAGCCGGTGCTGGACATTCGCTTTTCGTCCTCTCATTTTCGTAAACAACAGCCGTGGTGCGAGAAGGCAGTGAGTAGGACTTCCCTGGCAGAGGCTATATACGCGTGGTCATGTGAGAGCATTTGGAGAGGGAGAGCGGACTCTCCCCACTCTCGGCGGTACCAGGGCATTTGGGGTCCCATACTAGGTCCCATACTGCTTTACACAGGCAAAATAAATAATAATGGGCTTCATAAATTTGTTTTGTCATCATCTAGCCACCATCCTTTGAGCGGGATCGTGGATGCGCACTGCTAAGGAGTCCCTTAATAAGACGAAACGGTTGTCCAGTGCTTTCAATTTTTCAATGGTAGTCTAACATTAATCGATTCGTGATTTCAAACAATAACTTAATAATCTTTACGACCCCATACTGAATCAGTTTTAATTTTGTTAAACGTTTATAATTGTGTAACATTCCTCTGAAATAGATTTTTAATCATCATGAAAACTTTGTCATAAAATCATCAATTCATTTTTACAGTTTAACAATCTTAAAATAACTCTTAATTCTCGTTTTCACAGGCATATGTCAAGTCTATACCAATGTGTTATAACTTGTAGCCTGTGTGGCCTGTTAATGTATAACGTAATGATACTGCCAATTAGAGAACAGTGATTTATCGATCAAACCAATGACGCCTAAAACGAGTGCGAGCAGTCTAGAGTACTTGTCAGTCATGCTTTCTGACTAGCCCAGCCAGTTAAGTCCAGAACACCAGTCTCATCGTCTGTGATATCAATCATTTATTTCAAACATACTCAGTTTATATACCAATCAAACAGACCACATCATACCATAAAATAGGAAACTACATTTGTACAAGATTTGGCCAAATGTGGCTGTAAATGTGGGAGGTAGTAATTAATAGACAGGGCATAATTCAAGAAGGGTAAATCGTATAATAATAGTTCATAGATCAAAATAACGCTTATGATAAAAGGAACACGAATATGAATAGTTTAGTTAATCAATAATTATATGATAAATGGATCCGCAAAGTTATCACTCATTATCCTTATTGAAACATAACACAATGATATTGATTGACGCCCATTTTTGACCAATGAGTAAACTGTCCATTGAAATCATGAGTCCTTATCAGAAGAAGTAATTATATTTGGGTGCGTTTACGTAGTTATTTTTGGTATTTTAAAAGCTCAGCGAGAAGCGAAATAACCAAAAAAGACTTGTTACATGACTGAAAAATTAATATCAGAAGGGGTTTTGTGGAGATTGTAGTAATTTCAATGGTTAAGATCATGAGTCAGTTGAAGCTAGACCACCACCATGGGAAACCTGGAAGCACTGAACGGCCGTTTCGTCTTATTACGGGACTCCTCAGCAGTGCGCATCCAAGACCTCGCCCCCCTGCGAGGTCTGTTGTGGGATAGTAACTCACTGAAGACAATGGCGGAGGTGTCGCTTAATTTCGTGGATTAGTTGAAGTTAGACATTAACACTGTTGGATGCCGGCCAGCTCAGTGGTCTAGTGGTTAAGTGCTTGCGCGCAAAACCAGTAGGTCGTGGGTTCGAATCTCTCAGGGGACGAGGTCGTGGATGCGCACTGCTGAGGAGTCCCATAATAGGACGAAATGGCCGTCCAGTGCTTCCAGGTTTTCCATGGTGGTCTAGCTTTAACTGACTCATGATCTTAATGATTGAAAAATTAATGTTATACGAATTTAAAGCATCTTGTAATTACAATGATTCAGTATTTAAGTGATTTCTGCTGATTGATCTGGTAACAGCATAAATTTTGATGAAGTTGTTGCTCTTTGAGCTGGATAGTTTTGGTCATGAAACTTTCATCGTTTTTCTGAACAACATCATCAGTATAAACTTTTAATCACTTAGTACTATGAATCAGAATAAGATGTAGAACAGTTTTTATTTTATTGACCAATGAACTGCTGCCCAAATATATAGAGGTTTTTACATCTTCCAATGCTTCTCCGTCAAATGGTACATGATATGTTATATCGGAGAATCTTGCTTTTCCCTTTGTGTATGTTGAGACATACTACTGCTGAGGCTGGTGCTTCATTGATTGTCTTCTCCTGCATTTGTTGTTGCGTATGCGTTCCTCTTGGGCGTCTGCTTGTCCCAAACCCGGATAAAGGAGGAGAGTTGGCCATGGGATTAGCGACCCCATCCCATAGAAAACTAACTCGCTAAAAAAAACAATAACCAGAAACGAAAGCCTACATTTTAACATTTTTCATAATATTAGCATTTGACTATTCACATTTGATCATTACAATATATTGAAATATAAACAAGTTAATGGTAGTCTCGGAACTTTGCTAATCGTTGGTAAATGGGCTAATGAATATACACAAAAAAGGTACACAAGTACAACGGTAAGTAAAGTTTCGATACACTTCCCTTTTAGGTTTTACTTTAGTAATGGTTGACGGACTTACTTATTGTCCAAGCCATCAAAGTATTAATTTTATTAAATAATTCACTAATTTAAG